GTGTGTGTGTGTGTGTGTGTGTGTGTGTGTGTGGGTGTGTGTGTGGGTGTGTATGTGTGTTCTATACATGTCAGACAGTTTGGATGGAGAGTGTGTAGGTGGAGTATTTGTTTGTGCATTCCTACACGTGAAGATGAATGGAATATCTGCATTTCAAATAAAAGCAAAGGCTTGAAGCTCAATTTAACTGCAACTGACGTCCATCCAGATCTCCATCGTCCTCCTGCTCCAACAGAAAGCTACTCAAATGTATACTCCATGAATTTACAACCACCAACGTTATGCCAAATCCAGTGGAGGATTAACCTCAATTTACACCATATGGATGTGTTTAGTAACTGCAGCTCGACACGCATGCGCACGCCCACTTGCAGAGTCACAAATATGCACATATACATTTCCACGTATGCACACATAACCTCACATGCAAACTCACTCATACACACACATGGGCGAATACACACGTTGTTCTTGTGGACCATTTTTTGCCCGGACAAAAAAATGATGATGGAATGAATGACAGCTGTTCCTATTCAAGAATACCAAACTGTCAATAATGGTAAGGAATACGTAAAACACACAAATATACATCTTTGTGTGTATACCACACACACACACACACACACACACACACACACACACACACACACACACACACACACACACACACACACACACACACACACAAATCCTCACCTTCAGACAGGTGGGCGGTGAGTGGCGTCTGTGTCTCCTTGCAGTACGCGACCACCTCTTTGGGAAGGAAGTCTACCTGTGTGATCTTACAGGCTCCCAGCCTCTGCATCCTGCGCCTGGGAAACAGAGACAAGACGTTCCCGTTAGCACGGTAATATTGCGCATACACCAAATCTCTCCCAATTTACATTTGTTTTAATGTTTAAAGCAATGAATAACATGCAGAGCCTTTTGTCTGTAGCAACCACTATCTCAATATTCAGAAGATCGCGTCATTAGAGCGGTTTTCCCTTTTAAAATGGAATATTACATTTTGTCTATTTGGCTATTATTGAGTGCCATGCAGTGCCAAAGTAAGGTGTATTTGCAGCATCCATTTTTTTTTGGTCAGACAGCAAACTAGAGGAGAGAAGGAAGATGTACCCGAGCTCAGAATCAGCCTGCAGCTGCAGCACAGAGGGGTCTGTGTCCCACTGCAGCGTCCTGATGTCACCAACAGGGGGAGCAAGAGAGGACATGCATGTTTACAAACACACGTTAGAACAAAACACACAGAGACATTGGCAGGCGTGTCAGCGGCCGAACCGACACACGTTGCCACATGGATGCACATACACACTCACCCACGGACCACTTATCTAGGGAACAGCTTAACACGGGGATTCCCCATCGAATTTTCATGCAAAGATGGCACTGTTAATGGAAACATGTTTAGATAAGTGGACGTCGCGTGGGAGGGCGATACATTAGGGAGACATTGTATTTCATTAGGCTTTAATGTACTCTATCTGTTTAAAAGATCTCTGCTCTTCTCTTGTGATAGATGTCTCGGTGTTCTGCCAGGAATCCATAAGTTGAAAAAACATTTATGGACAGAGAATGAGGAAGGTCAAAATGATTCCAGTGGGAAAACAATTTGACCTGCTGACTTTTAAATGCTGGGAAAGCTCTGCAGAAATCTTCGTTTGGATTTTTTTTTTGAATCCTCTACTACGGCATCAAATTTTTAGCAACTTGCATGACATTAGTCCACATTTGTGTGACATTCCGTGTCTTGATGTTTCATATGCAAACTGCCAAATGATGCATGAGAGCCATGAACAATGTTTCCAGCAACATGATTTCCGTCTGACTCCTGCAGCACAACATACATCATCTAAGAACTGGCCAAGTTTCAGCATGTGAAAATCACATTAAAATGCATTTATAAAGAGTTAGCCTGCTCGCTATATACGTGACGATACACTTGCCATGCATCATCAATAAGTTTACCAAACATCGGGGACATTGCTGAGCTCATTCAGTGCATTTGCAGAGCTTATCCGCAGAAACACATTCCTTTAGTTTGGGGAGGTAGGAATAGGCAGTAGGGAAATCAAGCAACAACTGCAACCTATAGAGTTAAATGGTAACTTGGATGAAGTCCACCAACTGTGAAGGGATAATGCTTCCAACATCCCCACACTCTCTGATGATATCTTTTAGGGCCAGTGAACATGCCCGTCAGACCCTCGGCTTGTGCCACACAGCGCAGAGGTGAGAGTGGCAAGGCATTGCTTTCCACTGACAGACCGGCTGTTTTGCAGTAACAGCAATGACACTTTAAGCAGCAGATTGTCAACTCTGTGAAGGCTGAAGTGACTTCTGTGGCTCAACTCGTGCAAACAGAAATCTTTTGAGCTGATATTGAGGGTAGACAAGTCGGGCTGCAGACAGGAAGTCACCGGAGGAGACTGGAGGAACGAAGGAATAGAGTGGCACTGTGCTGTTTTCAGCTTAAACATCATGATGGGAACACGTTGCTAAGACCACTTACAACACTGCGGGTGCCTCTCTGTGTTCACGTGAGGGTAAAGTCAGCTAAA